CACGCCCTAATATTGCCCTCCCTTGCCCATTAGACACACCCTAATATTGCCCTCCCTTGCCCATTAGACACGCCCTAATATTGCCCTCCCTTGCCCATTAGACACGCCCTAATATTGCCCTCCCTTGCCCATTAGACACGCCCTAATATTGCCCTCCCTTGCCCATTAGACACGCCCTAATATTGCCCTCCCTTGCCCATTAGACACGCCCCTAATATTGCCCTCCCTACCCATTAGACACGCCCTAATATTGCCCTCCCTTGCCCACTAGACACATCCGACCCATAATCCTATGATAATCCGATCCTTCTACCCCCTCCCCCACCTTGGCTTAGCCAGAACCGTATTCCCTCCTAACCCATTCCCCTCCTACCCCTTTCTCCCTCCCTCCTCCCCACGACGAACCTTTCCTTTCACACACTATAAAAAGTAACCTCCCCCCCTCTCCAATTTCTTTCCCTTCACCTCCCTTCCCCCTCCTCCTCCTACTCCTCTTCCACCTCCCCTTCCCCCCCTTCTTTCGCAATACAACCCTCCCTTCCTAGACAGACACAAGCCCTCCAGCCCCTCCCTCCCACCAGAACCTACATATGATCTTTCTAACAATCAGGGTGTTCAGGCGGGGTGGGAGGGGAGGAGGACTTCTCAGGTTACTTCTCCCTCTCCTCTCCTAAGCCCCCCTTCTTACATTTCTCTCAATTCTCCCACAATAATACACACACACACTTTCTTCACTCCACTAAGTCTACCTGTCTCAATTCTCCTTCTCCATTAATTCCCACATTTCTCTCACCTCTCACCTTTTCCTCACTTCTCACTACCCTCTTCCTTCTCACCCCCCCTCCACCCCCATCATCGCTCATGTCTCTAAATCTCTAACTATTTTGTCATTATTACGAATATTACTTTAGGCCCAATCGCTCAGAGTCGAGTACCTCTAATAATAATAATAATAATAATAATAATAATAATAATAATAATAATAATAATAATAATAATAATAATAATAATAATAATAATAATAATAATAATAATAATAATAATCTCTCAATTTAGTCACCCAAAAAAGTCCTGCCCATAAATGCTTCAGATTCAAGAGTCTGAATCTCGGGGATCATGGTTCGCGATCAGGACTTTTTTGGGTGACTGTACAGTCGGCCAAAGATGCACCGACCCCACCCTGAGTCTCGTGATCGTAATTTGACCTGGCAATACTTGGTAAAGGAAGGCTGTATGTAAAGGTGATTGGTGGATCTGTTTTTGGTTGTAATACTGTCAGGATAATTATTAAACAAAACCAAAGGTAGAATTAAATAAACTATTCATCATTATTTTAGATCATGAAAAGTTTCCACTTGTTCGTATATTTGTTTAAATAATGAAAAAAAAATTATATAAATGACTTGGCAACTCAACTACAACCACAGCTGCTACAAGATTCTCACATCAAATTTTCTTTATTTAAACAAATATACGAACAAGTTGTAAGGTTTCATACTTCTTAGTGATGTATAAGGAAGATTTACTGGCGTTATTGACTTATTGACACCTGGGAACAGACAGACAGACAGACAGAGATCAATCAAACAAGGGAAAAAAAAAGAGCTACCAATTGGAGGTCACGACGGATTATGTAGACGTCATCAGGTTACCATGACGACGCAATGACGCTATCGTGATGTCACCCGGTTACCATGACAACATTAGGACGCTACCCAGCCTCGACCACAACAACACCATGTATACACTGACACCATGTATATATAGATCTCCTTAGCTCTTATACATATACAACGTCTTATACATACATGTGTACCCCTTGTCGTAAACATACATGATATACAGTATACATAACAGCTGACCAAAAAGTGCTAATCACATTTTAAGAATTATGGTTTAACCCTTTTGAGAACGGTAGTTTAATTAGCACCTTATAGACAGTGGTTTAACATTCTGAGGTCGATGGTATTTAACTCTTTGGGGATGTTGGTTTAACACTGAGCATTATGGTTTAACCCTTTACAGGACGATGGTTTAAACACTTTGGGGTCTCCACCGTGGATCTCTGGGGACCTGTAGGAATAATGTTGGTGTTTTAGGGACTAGATAAGGGAGGAAATATATCGTAGGAGCCTGGAGGAAATATATCGTAGGACCCTGGAGGAAATATATCATAGGACCCTGGAGGAAATATATCGTAGGAGCCTGGAGGAAATATATCGTTGGACCCTGGAGGAAATATATCGTAGGAGCTTGGAAGGAAATATATCGTTGGACCCTGGAGGAAATATATCGTAGGAGCCTGGAGGAAATATATCGTAGGACCCTGGAGGAAATATATCGTAGGAGCCTGGAGGAAATATATCGTAGGACCCTCATCCCTGGAGGAAATATATCGTAGGACCCTGGAGGAAATATATCCCTGGAGAAATATATCGACCTGAAATGGACCCTGGAGGAAATATATCTAGGACCCTGGAGGAAATATATCGTTGGACCCTGGAGGAAATATATCGTAGGACCCTGGAGGAAATATATCGTAGGACCCTGGAGGAAATATATCGTAGGACCCTGGACGTAGACCCTGGAGGAAATATATCGTACCCTGGAGGAAATATATCGTAGACCCTGGAGGAAATATATCGTAGGACCTGGAGAAATATATCATGTAGGACCCTGGAGGAAATATCACAGGACCCTGGAGGAAATATATCGTTGGACCCTGGAGGAAATATATCGTAGGACCCTGGAGGAAATATATCAGGACCCTGAGGAAATATATCGTAGGACCCTGAGGAAATATATCGTGGACCCTGGAGTATATCTGGGACCCTGGAGGAAATATATCGTAGGACCCTGGAGGAAATATATCATGGGACCTGGAGGATATATCGTAGGACCTGGAGGAAATATATGATATATCGTAGGACCCTGGAGGAAATATATCGTAGGACCTGGAGGAAATATATCGTGGCCCTGGAGGAAATATGTCGTATTAACCCGTAGGAACGTAGGGCCTGGAGGAAATATATCGTAGGAGCCTGGAGGAAATATATCGTAGGACCCTAGAGGAAATATAATAGGGTAACAGTTATACGAGCACTCTCCCCCCATATGGTAGGTAGAAAGGGAGAAGGGAAGGCAATGGGTTGAAGAAGGGACGGATGAGAGGATTATCCCCTTCCCTCCCTCCCTCCCTCCCTCTTATGTCAAAGGAGGGAAGAGTCTAGATTACTCCCTCCACTCTACATCCTCCCTTTTCTTATCCCCCTTACGCATTACGTGGGTGAGGGAGGTAGGGGGAGGGGAGAGGGGGAGGGGAGGGGGGGAAGATTACCTCTCCCTCTCTTTATCTCTACACTTATACCCTCTCCAACCCCCCCCCCTCCCCTGCTCTATACACCGTTTCATACTCTAGTGGTTATCGGACAGGAGGGGAAGGGAGAGGAGGAGGAGGAGGAGGTGGATGGACAATGGAAAGGAGGGTTTGTTAAGAGCGGAGAAGAGAAAGGAAGAGAAAATACGTAGATCATAGATCGACAGATAATCAGATAGACAGACTTGCCTTTTCTAAAAAAAAACATTATCCTCTTCACTACTGAGCGACTCGTTAACCGCTTGGGCGATCGGTCACGTCTCTGTTACACACTGTTGGTAAGTACTGGGCATGAACTGGCTCCAGAATGTACCTGTTATGATGGGTTAGGTTAGGTTAAGTTCACGTTGTTAATCTAAAGGTAAAATAAGCTTAGAGTACCAATCTTCAGGTAAACCAAGACATTTCTTGTCAATTAGTCCAAATATCACCTTCCTTCTGTAATCTTATCACACATAACAACCAGACCTGTGTAACTACCACGTCATAATCCATTATTATTCACCAGGTAAGATTAGGTTCAGGTAACAAGCAGGTGTTGTAAATTAAAAAACAAACATTTCATCAATAACAAAATATAATTCAACTTGATTTATATACATTTACATAATTTACACAACTCTATTTTTACAGGAACATTTACACACATTTACACAGGTTTTTTTCTTAAAGCTTAGATGCAATAATGATATGAGGAATTTGTACAATAATGTGTTAAGGGGAAATAATTATAAAAATTAAGTATTTCTATTTAACAAAAACACGATAATCGGGAGTTTATGTAAAACATCTTTGGCACTCAAGACCTGGCACTCAAGACCTGGCACTCAAGACCTGGTACTCAAGACCAGGCACTCCAGACCTGGCACTCAAGACCTGGCACTCAAGACCTGGTACTCAAGACCAGGCACTCCAGACCTGGCACTCAAGACCTGGTACTCAAGACCAGGCACTCCAGACCTGGCACTCAAGACCTGGCACTCAAGACTTGGTACTCAAGACCTGGCACTCAAGACCTGGCACTTACAGGATACCTAAGTAACCACCGTACCGACCATTATTAGTGTGGTAGAATCACTTATAAAAACACCATCATTCATATTAGCTGTTTGCAAATCACTAATATTGTTTACATTAGACGTAAACAAATCCAGATTTCAACAGCACACAGATTAAAATGTTTATAAAAAAAAATCAAAATAATAATAGTTTAAATTGTTTATAAATGTTTACCTCATGAGATAATTGTTCTTTTGTTTACTCACATCAGATTGTTTACAAAGTTATCCTCCTCTATATTTTCAAACAATAGATTATAAGTTAAATTGTTTGCATGGTTCACTTTACTGACATGAAAACAATATTACGTGGAAACAATAGGTAACGTAGGAGAGTGAGAGAGGAGGGGGGAGGAAGAGAAAGTGAGAGAGAGAGAGAGAACAACTGATAAATAACAATAATAATAAATTAGGTTAAAAATATAAATAAACAGAGAGAGAGAGAGAGAGAGAGAGAGAGAGAGAGTATGACTCGCTATTCACAAAAATAAACACAGTAATATACAGATCTAATTCCTTATACACACAAATTATGGCACATTTTACTGTCTATTCTGTAACCCCCTGTCCATCACCGTCCAATACTCCTTTCTGTTCAAGTGTGTCCGGTTTACAGTATTGTCCAATGCCTCGATTTCTGTCTATTGTACTGTCAAGTTGTTCATATTCTTCTGTTGTTTATCTGTCTAAAGCACTGTTGTGTTCACTGTTCACACAATATTTAAGATTGTCCCTGTCTAAATAATTATCTCCGTTTCTGTCAGTATCCAACCATTTCACTGTCCAAAATTGCAACAAAATATTGATCATCCCAAATCTGCAACTATTTACTCGGTTTCACTGTCATAAAACTGCAAAACGTTCTTCATTTTCTGTCAGTTATTACAAAGTTTTATCCATTTTCTGTTTTGTAATAATTATCTACCATTTCAATATACCAAATAGCACAATTTAAGTATCCAATAATCACAGTCTGATCATTTGTGTCTGCAATTGCAAAGTTCACTCAACAGTTGCCAACTTCTCACTGTTTAAATCTGCTAAATTATTTCATTTCAATATCTAATGTTGCAAAAATTCTCTCCACTGTCCAGATGGAGAATTGTTTACTCTATTGTTTATGACTTGTATGGCCGTCATGAACATAAACAGTGTGTGCCTGTTGAGGTCACTGGTGGACCTGTGGTGACCTGTAGCCGCTGTCCAAGTGACCTGCAGATGCCACAGATGCGACTGACTGCCTTGACCCCTTTAATGTGGTTCAGTCGGTCAGATCGTTTCTTTGGTGCCATGACTTGGTGACTTGACCACAACTGTAACACATTTGTTGTGACCTGTAAGGTCTTCACTTCCTGAGACACCTGTGCTCACTTCCTGGACCTGTGCATCTTCCTGGTTTTGAGCAGCAGGTGGTGTAGGGCGACCATAGCGTCGTCCAGTCCCTCGCCCGTCACGGCGCAGGCGGCGGCCACAGCCCAGGGCTGGCAGTGGGGTAGGTCTGTCAGGCCGAGAGACTTGGCCAGCTGCTGGGTGTCTTTGGCCCCTGGCAGGTCCTGCTTGTTGGCCAGAACCAGAAGGGGCGGTCGGGCCCTGTTGAGCGCCACACACTCACTACTCTGCTGCCGCGTCATTCTATGTAGCTCCAGGCGGGCCTCCTCCAGGCGGTCCATACTGCTACTCGAGTCCACCACGAAAACAAGAGCGTCCGTGGCCCTGGTGTATGACCTCCAGAGGGGCCTGACCCGCTCAGCGCCCCCCACGTCCCACACCAGCCAGTGGCCTCCCCCACACCGCACCTTCTCACAGTTGAAGCCCACAGTGGGCACGGCGTTCACGTACTGGCCGTACTTGAGCCTCAGCAGCGCCGTCGTCTTGCCGGAGGAGTCGAGGCCGACGAGGACTACGTGTGGCGGCCCGGTGACCAGCGCCACCAGCCCCAACACCAGGGACTGTGCCGCCTCCATCACGCGACTCACGCCCATACTGTACTGCCACACAAGTCACCAAGCTCCTGAAGTAGTCGCCTGCACCAGTCAGATCACTTCACAACTTCCTTATCAACACAGTCTGGCACTATGTTAATGTTGCCTGAAGAAGAGACGCGGTGTTTACTGTGCCTTCAGGGTCAAGTGATAAAGCTGGAGACTCAAGAGGAGACACAACCAACCTCTAGCGTGTGCAGCTGGCTACTGTCGCCTGGACGTGCGTGCCGTGCAGAGTGAGCCAAATACGGACGCGCGTGAGTTTCTACTACGAGTTGTCAGTTAGTCGTATCACTGCGGGAACCTGATGAAGATCGTGAACCTTTATACAAGTATACTTTACTAACGACCAACATTAGATCTTATACAAAACTGAGTATCGCTTAATATATTTGATCAAAATATCACTATTATTGTAAAAGAAATTATTCGGAAAATTAGTCCCGGTTACTTCTTTCTCTCGACCAATCATATATCAGTATGAGAGCGGAGGGGCGGAGCCAGAATACCCAAACATTCCCACGTGTTCACATACAAATTAATATCATCCTCAAGTTGACGCTCAGGTAGTGAACATTTTAACACACTGAAGTTAATTGTTTTTATCTTAATATGTTGATACAAATTTAAGATATTTAATTACACTCGTGAAATTATGAATTATAATAGTGATATGTTTGGAGATCAGAATTAACAGAACATTATGACAAGCACTGGGAGTTATATAGTGTGTGTGTGTGTGAGTGTGTGTGTGTGTGTGTGTGCGTGTGTGTGTGTGAGTGACCATAAGCAAAGATAGCTATCACAGAGACAAACAATATGAACAAAATCAGGGAGTTCACAGGACGACACACCACACGCGTTTTTACAAGTGGTGTTCCTATCCCGGGTTGCTAGGGTCGACCACCTCCCCCTACCCCACCCCTCATACCCCACCCCCCTCATACCCCACCCCTCATACCCCACCCCTCATACCCCACCCCTCATACCCCACCACCATAAACACCCAGCACACCGGGTGGGCGAGTGTGGGTGAGAGGTGAGGGTGGATGGTGAATAAATGTAAGTGGTGGTGGGTTGCGGGGTGGGTGGGTGGGTGGGTGGTGGGTGGGTGGGATGTTAATATCTGGGTCTGGGTCTGCCTGAAAATGTTATCGCGACTTCTGTGAAAGGGGTTACCATCGTGGCAGTAATTCTTTCCACTTCAAAAATATATTATCTATGTATCTATTTTCAGCGCTCCCCCTTAAGGAAATGTCCGTTTTCTATGAGAATTACTATATTCAATGATATACTATACTATTTATCCGATTTTTCCGTGATTTTACGTAAAAACAGCTGTAACTCGGTAATGTGCGTAACTCTCACCAATATGTCAAGGGTTCGAGCCTCGGCCCGGACACACGTGAGAAGAGTGTTATCCAGTGTGACCCTCAGTACCAAACACCACAAGTTTCCCATCTCCGGTTTCCTCCTGTAGTAACACTGGATAGGTATTGAACATTATATCAAGAAAGAAATAAAAATCGAACATCAGGAACATGAGTCTGTGGTGGTCGCTGTGTTAGGGAACTTGGCATTAAAATGCTTAATTTGGTGATGACTCAACGGATTTGGCAATGATGTACTCATGGGACCTAACTGGGAGGTTTTATAGTTATGGGTTTGGTTACAACAGGGACCAATTTTCAAACAAGTCTCGTGAAAAATAAATGGGTTATTTTATTTCACCTGGTGGATAAGGGTGAGTGGAAAGTGTTTTAGAGATGCAGACATTGAAATTTTCTTCTTAAACTGGCTATTAAAACTACTACTACTATCTTTTTTTTAAATAGCATTCTGCCTCCCCCAATAGCCACACCTTTGCCGCTAATTTATTACCATAATATTAAATATCCTAATACAAATGTAGCAACACTAGCTGAGTTAGTTAAGCTATGCGGCATTCAGTGACTGTTGCCTCATAGTCACACATACTGAACCACTGATAGCCAGGGCCTAGAGGAGACTGCTGTGATGGTAACTGTACTGCAAACATCATTGGAGTGTGCTGTAAAGAGATCAATACTCTCTCTCTCTCTCTCTCTCTCTCTCTCTCTCTCTCTCTCTCTCAGCACTACCAGGTAACCCAGGATTACAGAGATCATTAACTGGGGCGTAAATCCCGGTATTAGCGACAAGAGGAAGGGCGGGATTAGCTGTTGTTTTGGTTGTGAGCAGCTGACGGACGCCACGACCATGCTGTTGTTATTGTTGTTCTTGGTCTTCAGTGAGAGAGATGATGACTATTATTTTTATTAATGTTTATATAATAATTGTCGTGAAAAAATAATTACATCGATAAGTTTTCATTAATATAAAGAATTCGAGTCATTATTTCTCCGACAGAGGTAAGATCCAATTTACATGACCAGCTTAAAAAGATCCCGAAGATTTAAATCATTAAGCTCAAACGGTATTAAAGCCGTTATCAGTCCCCCAGAACGAGGCAAAAGGCTCTCATGTCGAGTAAAGTGGTATTAACGAGATAACTAAGGACGGATGAGGGGATGAGAAACATTAATACGATAATAGTAAACAATTTAATCTTTAATATCGCCTCCTAAAAAACACGAAAAAAAGGCGTAAATTCCAAGAACTAAAATATAAACGAATGAACATTAATTACGTAGGAATAAAATAATTCACAAAAATTACAACGCAAATGACCGAAACCCCCCAAAAATATCTAAACTATATGACGATTTATGTAGGTAGAGACGCACATTATTGCCCTTTATGTATTTTTTTCTTAACACCTTTTTAATTACCCAGCTCTCTTACCTAAAAAAAATTCCTACAAATTAATATGTCCAAAGATACTATTTATCAACCAGACAGACAAACAGACGGAGAGAGATAGACAGAGAAAGACAGACAGACAGACAGACAGACAGACAGACAGACATGCACTGCTGTAGGGAGGGAGGCATTTCACCCACACGTTAAAACTTTTCCTTAGCCACCATTCCCTTCAGTCCTACCCCCCCAGTCCCCACCCAGTCCTACCCCCCAGTCCCCACCCAGTTCCTACCCCCAGTCCCCACCCAACTACCCCATCCACCCCTACCCCACACATTCACCCCACTAATCCTGCCCATTCCTTTCAGCCCAACCCTGCAGTCCCCACCCAGCCCTACCTCCCATTCCCCACCCAGCCCTAACCCCAGTCCCCACCTAGCCTTAACCCCCCAGTCCCCGCCCAGCCCTACCCCCAAGTCCTACCTCCCAGGCCTACTTTTTTATTTTGTAGAGAAAGGAGGGGTGAAAGAAGATTAGAGGTGGGGGAAGGAAGTTGTAGTTCGGAAATTGAAGAAATTTAGGAGGAGGTAAGAGAGGGCGTGCTGACCGCCTAGCTAAGCTAATAGTGTGTTAGGGTTGTGTCATGGGTTAGTTATTGTCTGTCGGTACAGGCACTAGACAGCCTACCCTGTCCCATATATGGGTGTTTTAAGGGCCTTATTTCATATTCCGCCGACCCTACTGGCGGATGCTGGTCTAGGGGGTTGTCTATTGCCTGGCCGTGTAGATCGGGGGTGGTAATGGACCTTTTGAGATTTGGTAACTTTTTGAGAACCGTGTATGGTTGTTGTCGTTATCTGGTGGGAGTCTTTGAAGGAGTTCTTGCTCTGATCGTTCTATCTTTTGCCAGATTCTGCTGGCCAGGGTGCGCAGCTGCTGGTTGATGGGTTTCATTCTCAGGTCTCTATGTATCTCGCTGTGGTTCTGGTGAAGGGGTATCTTTCACCTGTGACGAATCTTAGGGCTTCATTTTGGACCACCTGTAATTTTAATATTTGAGTGGTGCTCATAGTATGAAGAGGTACTGCTGGGTAAGTTAATATGATAAGTGATGTCACCAGCCCTACTCACCCAGTCCCAAAGTCTAGCTACGCCACTGGTTTTTCTCACTTACCTATTTTACTGTATTGGGCCCTATTCTGTCTGTCTGTCTGTCTGTGTATCTAGCTATCTCTAATATCTATCTATCTATCCGTCGTACGGGGTTGTGGCAGCCAGTGGGAGGTGAGGTGAGGTGAGGGGTGCTTGGCGGGTTTGTTTACATTCTCGTCACCCGACACCACTGAGGGAACATGACTCTCTTTCTCAGTGGTAAGAGGCTCCCACCCCCGCGCTTAGTACTAACCCTCGGATACTTACTGAACTCTTGTTTATAGGTGTGTGATGAAAGCAGGAGGAGTCTTAAAAGATTATGTAATGGGTAAACATGGTTCAGACGAGTGCCGTGTAAACAATGGCATTTCTAACCACACCCTACAAAATACAGTGTATTTAGCAAATGCTGCAGCTGCTGAGAATTGGGAGGGGGGGCGGGGTTTACTACTAAGAGCAGAGACGTTACCGAGAACAAATTCCGGCTTGAAAGTCATGTACACTAATTGTGACACGTTCCTTGATAAGAGAGAGGAGTTTGAAACACTACTGAAGGTAAATCAACCCGATATAGTGGGTGTTGTAGAACTGTTGTACAAGAACAGGAGAATCGACCCAGAGAAATGTGAGTTCAGTATTGACAGATATGACTTCTTTACGAACCGTTCTCAAGAAACCTGCAAGAGGGGTGTCGTTATCTATGCTAGGCAAGACCTTAGAGCCAGCCAGGCGAGGGTACAGGGAGAGGATGTTTCTGAAGAGTCCAAGTGGTGTAAAATTAAATTAAAGGGAGGGGACTTACTTATCGTCGGGTGTATCTACAGATTCCCAAACTGTAGCTTACCAAACCAAAGGAACTTAAGAACCTGAATAGACAACGCGGTGATGCTCAACCCTAGCCACCTCCTTATCATGGGGGACTTTAACTATGGCGACATCGACTGGAGAAATGAGTTCACCCCAAATAACTTCAATAACCCCGCTACTCTTTTTCTCGAAACTCTGAGAGGTAATATTATGTTCCAACATGTTAAAAACCCGACGCATTACAGAGGGGAGCAAACACCCAAGCCACTAGACCTCATCATAACAAACGAGGAGGGTATGGTGGCCAAACTGGAACACCTTGCCCCAGTTGGCACCAGTCACTGTTGCTTAGTTCACGACTAAACCAGGCCAAGGTGCAAATATTACAAGGGAAATTACGACGGGATGAGGGAGTAGATGGGGAGTATCCACTGGCCTGACTCACTAAGGTATAAGAACGCAGACACTGCGCTGAATATCATATCCAGTAAAGTGAACCATTT